CGTGCAAAAAAGAAGGCTTGAGAAGCAAAAGGTGTGCGAGTGCGGCGTGGCGTGCGTGCGCGTGTGGTAGAACCGCAAAGCCCACAAAACCCAAAACACTATTCAAAGCCCAATAAGGAGAGAACCATTATATACCCTTTACTATTCATCTCATTTTCCGATGTGGGACTATTCACAAAGGCAAAATTGCCTTTTCATGAATAAGCTTCCAACATAATTTTCTATAGGCTATCAATGAGATCCACCCCATGCTATGTTGATCTCTCTCACAACTTGAAGCAGTGATAAATTAGGACCACCTGATCTTTGATTCCAACTCTGAAACGTGACGATCTGATATTTGTAGCATGAGGTTCACTACAAACTAGCTAGGGACCAAATAATTAGAAGGAACTGGCTACCGAAATGATTAGTTCAAGGCTCTTTGTTAACCTTGTTAACTGTCTCACTCTAAGATAGAGGAGATGATTGATGATCAACATATATAAAATGGAGGACAGAAGTATGATAATGTGTTGCGTAAGTCTATTGTGATGGTCTAACAATCTTGGATGATCATAACGTGTTTACCTGCATAAACTATTTCATCTAAATATTGTGAAAGTTAAAAATGTGGTTTATTGGACTATAATAAGTTTTCTTCCCAATTTCCGAAAATAAATCCAAAAAGAAATATTTTGGGAACTAATTTTGACCCGCCTGTAGCATGAGCATAAAGCAAGACCACTGTTTGGTTGACAGAAAAGGTATTTACATCAGCAGATGCTACAACTAAATTTCTGTTTTACAGTGTCTAATTTGTAACAAGGTTGTCATAGATGATAATTAGATTTACGTTTTGCATTAAAAAAAAAACTTGCAGTATTGTTGAGGTTAATGGGGTGTTTGGTCCACTGCGATTGTAATTGTAACAAATGTTGCATGAAATTAACCTCAAATCTGTTGGTTGGATATTTACACGTTTATTATGGTAGATGCATTTCTAAATACAAACATAATGTTTGGTTATTCACAAAATATGTTAGCTTTACATATTTTATTGCAGGAAATACATTTCCATTGTAAATCATGTGTTTGTTTCTCTTCAAATGTCAAAAGATCTATATTTTGAGTTAACTTCAACTAATTTGATGACTTGGTAGTAGTTTATAGGTTTTTTAGTTAATGTAAGGACCTGCAACATTTGTTGCGACCAAATTAGCTGCAACAAAATATTACAAGTTTTTTATACAAAATATACATTTAAATACCATGACAGAAACCTTGTTGCAAAGCGAACATTGAAAATAGAAATTTAGTTGCAACACTGAACTTACAGATGTAAAAATATTTCTTGTCAACCAAACAACCCCTAAATTGCATTTGGCCACAGTAAATGTTACAAGTCCATACATTAACTAAAAAAACTAAAAACTAATATTGACCCGTCATCAAATTAGTTGATTTTATTTTAACTAAAAAATGTAGATCTTTTTACATTTAAAGAGAAACAAACCTGTGATTAGCAATTGGAAATATATTTTCTACAATAAAAAATGTAAATTTAATGGGTTTTGTTATAGCCTAGAAAACTTACAAGTGCTAATCTTCCTAGAGAAGCCGACACGTGTCTCACCCATCGCCTAATCAGATAAATTGAGGCCAAGATGACTCAAACTACTCCTACGGCCGACCTTATGGGCCGACAACTTGCGTAGCCAAGTTACAAGGCGGTACTTGTCGGCCACCTCACCCGATCGACCATATGAGCAATCCGCATTTAGCCTACTGTGTCACCCGACAACTTGCATAGAGTCAAAAGGCAGTGCTTCTTGGCCCTTGACCAAACAAAACGAAAGACGACAGTTACCTCGAATCTCTCGCTAGTCGATTGAACTCGCATTCACTGCTCTAACAAAATCATCATTACTCTAACTCCTATAGTCTTTATGACTCATCGGACCCAATCGGCTCCAAATACATGTTGTCATTCCCTCATTAAATGACCAGATAACTTGTTTTCTTCTACGACCAATATTTGGAAAGTATCTGCTGACTCAACAGCCTGATTGGACTCAGTCGAAGTTACCTTCATACCCCTCTAATCTGCTATAAAAGGGAACTACACTGCATGGGGTAACTTCTTCAACTTTTGGCAACTTTGAATAACCGCATATACAATTTGTCCTTGATTTTCACATTCAATATCAAAATACTGACTTGATCATTAGAGGAACAACCGGAGAATCCAACTCTGTTCTCTTACGAGTTCGAACAACGGACTCTGGAACCAGTCATCTGAAGGAATTTGAGGACCCTAAGTACTCTCATAACTCTAATATAAACCACATGTTTGATAACTGACATCAACATGTTTTATGACTAAGCAAACATTATATTTGTATTTGAAAATACATTTGCAACCACAAAAATCCAAACAAAAGGTTAATTTCCTATAATAAATGTTGCATGCAATATTTCATGAATGCAATATTTATTGCAATTACAATTGCAATCTACCAAATAGTCATGCTAGAAGTCCCCTAGAAGTCCCAACACCATTACCGCAGTGATGGAGCTTCATAACATATTTTTTCCTTCTCCTTCTATTAATTTTCTTAATCTCCTTCAATCTGATTTAGAAAATACATAGGGAATATAATTTACGATATGAGCTTTAAATATAGTCATTTATAATTTTGAATTTGAGAGCATAACTATATTTGTTTTGTTTTTATTTATTTTGAAGCAAACTACTATAAAATTAATCAGATATAGAATGAATTCTAAGACCCTTTCATACAATGTGGTTTGAGAGTAAGAGAGAAGAAAAAATAGATATATTACAAAATTTTTTAAGAATGTCATTAACACCGTCAGGGTAATTTCTGATCTTTTCTACATTTATGAAAGTGTATAATATTTTCCAATAGAAATATTTATATAACTATATATATATATAATGACTAATAATGCATATCAGTTTTGTGACATTAATCATTTTTATAAGCATAATATAAGTTTGGAGTTATTTTCAATATATACCCATTAAATCTTCCTTATTTGTAAAATTATCCCCAAATTATGTCCCATCGAGTTTTTCTATCCCTCCCACTTAGCAAATCGGAAAATTATTACAATCAATCAAAATTATTGGAAAATTTTGACATTGCCATATTACAAACCAATATTGTTAAGTTGAGGGGTAGAAAAACCCAATAAGAGAGAATGCGGAGGGTAATTTGGCGAATACCACGATTTGAGGGTTATTTTGCAAACATGATAGATATGAGGGGCATGTACGCAAAAAAAAAAACCTATAAGATTTTATATGTATGACGTGGAGTTTTCTATTTTCTTTGGATTTGGTGGTCAGCATACTGCATGGTCCACCAAGCCTCAAACCCCTCACAATCACAAGCCAAAGAAACAAACCAAGTCCAATCCATTATCGACATGTCACGACTGCATCATTGTTTGTGTACAAACTGCAGCTCAACCCCACCCAAATACAATCCACTTCATTTGTGTTCACCAAATTCAACTTGGACCGACCACACCACAAACCAACCCCCTATGGTCCACTTGTTCGCATCATGTGACTCTACAGAGATCAAATCTGACTTCAAATCATTAATAAGGCAAGGTTGTAACTTATAACAACAATGCAAATTTATTAAGGTTTTTTTTTAGATATTAGCATCTAAGTAATTTGTATTAGCCCTCTAATCTTTATAATTTGATAGTAGCCCTTCAAATACCTATAATATGTTGATACGAGTCCCTATGGTTAGGTTTATATTTTGACATAAGTCCCTCAAGTAGCCATGATGTGTTGATATGAGCCCCACATGTTATTAACACGTCATAGCAACTTGAGGGGCTAATATTAGAATGTGGAGATTTAAGGGGCTAATATTGAATTACCTTAATGTAAAGGGTTAATATCTAAAAAGCCCCATTAATTAACTAATGCCAAGCCCCAATCCGTACCATTGTGGGGTGCTATAAAAATCTTTAGACAATCCCCATTATTCGCCACATGAGACGTTTCTCCCCACATGCTTTTGTTTCCGCCGGTGTGTTTGATTGCTTTTAATCTCAATAAAAGTACATATTTTCTACTATGTAATTTCGATATATACGACAAAATATTTGAATATATATGACATTTTTTTCTAGCATTTCATTAAATTAGTAATAAAATAGTAAAATAATCTAGTCCTTTTCTAACGAGAAAAAGGCTAATGAAAATATGATTGTTATAACAAACATGATGAAATTAACATTATTAGACTCGTATTCTAACACGTAGCTTCAGCCACACTCTTAACTTGAACCAAATTTGAATTCTTTCCGCTACTCAAAACAATAGAGAGATCACTACTTTTATTTTAATTGTAGATTTGTATACTGAGAGATTATGATTCTTTCTATATGTAATATATATTATACATTCACGAATTACGTTCATTCCTGATTCATACTAAAAGAAAAATCTTAATTATTCATTAAGTAAGTCGATACTCATTAAGTCAACGGTCCTAATAAAAAGTAGTGGATGAATAATAGAATTTGTTTACTTCAAAAATTTGTCCCTTATAAAATCACCAACCGAATCACTACATTTAATGTTTTCCCCCAACATTAAGTAGTCAAATACCCTCCCTTGACATGAACATCGCAATATGGATTTGGATTGTACATCCATAAGACCATATCCAACCAAGACCCGATTCAATTTGTTTGAGCTATGACCACGTCTTCATTTCTCCAATCTTCTCCTCTATTTCACAAAGTTCTTACCTTTTAATCAATGCAAATTATATCGTCCACCAAACCTTAGATGATTATGATCGACAAAATCAAGGGCTGAGAGCCAGAAACTTTGATCGCTGGAACAAGGCTACAAGTTTACAAATATAATTGCTATATGATATTTTTATTGAAATATTAATGGCATGAAAACGATTGCCTGCTGCGTGGTTCAATTTCATATAGATTAGCAACACAATATCTACTTTCTGAAGACAAAAGTGCATATAAATATATTTCCGAATTCAATAACTATATGTAAATTCAATCTTACATGGCGCAATAATCACAATAGAGACCTCCTATCTGCCTTCTTTGTTCTTGCTTCTCTTTTTCGTAATGAAACACTTCTTGCAATATAATTCCAAGCAACAAAATTGTCACATAATGTGCTCTGCTTTCAGGACTCTACATCTAGTTATTCCCGTTGCCATTATGCCATATGCCTGAACGTATCCTGTATGCCAAGAATCAACATATATCCATAAATTCCATACTGCGATGATGAACATCAGTGAAAGACCGATGATTTACAAACTCAATTGATGCCTTTGCCCTCGAATCTAAAGTCCGAATATTTTTTTTAAACAGTTCTATGGGTATCATGGTTATACAAGACTTAACTCATCTGATGTGTTCGAATCTTTAGTGTTTGGTTCTTGTTCAGGATGAAGTGCAGCAATTTGCTTGCGCAGAGCTGCGAGTTCTTCCCCAGCACTGCAGATATAGGCAGCCGCTTGTCTACCAGATAGAGTTGCTCCTTCCATACTATCAATATAGTCCTGAAAAATTCATAGAATAAAGTTTAGTAATTGAGAATGCTCGTAAAAAGAATAAGAAATTACAAAGGAAAATGACACCCCCTTTAGACCTCTTGAAGAAAATAAGAAAATGAAAAGTGTATGTGGGTCTTCCCATGTAGTAAACAGAGGGTAACATCTTTTTAAAATCTAAACAGAGTTCTACTTTTAGCTTGTAGGTTTAGAAGTGTTCTCATAATATGCTCTCTCTCGCAAGTTTTATGACTAAACTACAATCTGTGATCCTGGACTTCTTCCAAAGTACACGCACGAGTGCGCGCGAGAGGGAAAAAGAACTAATTATATAATGATACACCTTCATCCGTGTTAAACTGCTTTAAGATTTCTCTTGCAGCTGGATACTATCAAGAACTGATATTAAAGGATAAGCAGTAGAATCCATGAGAATATGCGCAAATGAAATACTAGTTCCAACCATCACCACTCATACAAACATTGATACATTAAAGGGGGCAAAATATGGAAAGGTATTAGAAAGTAAAGTGCTGGTTGTTATAGCAACAAAATACCTTAAAATTGAAATAAATAAAGAAATAAGTTAGTAGATCATAGTTACCTGCTTGGTGTATGAACCGGCAAGGAAGAAGTTTTTCACTGGGGTCTTTTGATCAGGTCTAAATGGGTCCTTTCCTGGTCCTTCACGGTAAAGAGATTGTCCAATTTTAACCACTGAAGACCAAAGAACTTCCAAACCTTGGGACGACGGAAATAAATCCAAAACCTGATGGGTTGTAAAAGGTAAATTATAAAACTATATGATATTTGTATATAACAGCAACGTAAACTGAGCATGATTTTTACAGGAAGTTTGCGTATCAGGTTTGGTCATCTACATTCTTGAATAATCCTATATGATACTTGGGAAATATGTTCTCTTTGCTACCTTGGTCTATCTTGTGTTCAGTTAGAAGAAATTCCCTATGAATATGAATCATCCTGTCTTCTTCTATATTATTTCTAGTGTAGGAGGGAAGGTAGTTTTTTTCTGTTATGATCTTAAATTGCAATGACTAAGATATGGTTCTCTACTAACCAACTGGCCTTTTAAGGGTTTATGGAAAGCCCACTTTTTCTCTACAGGATTCCTACCAAGGAACAGCTAAATACTAAGCAATTCTGAGGGTCGATCTCACCGACATCCACTCAAAATTTGGTCAACCATTCTACAACCACCTCATTATCCAGTCACTGATCCCGCAATTTGGAGGGGAAAAGGCTTGTATTCTGATGATGACAACGATGAATGATCTATCATGCAGGCCAATATACTGCCATCAGAACTCCCTACTGCTTAATCTGCAGTGTCCAGATTATATTTAAATTCTTTACAATTATTTAATACTATTAAGACCTGCATGCACATATCCACCTGGATTTATCTATACACATGATTTCTCAAATATATGGTGGTCTGTGCAAGGTGCTTATTTGAATTTACTCTTCCTGATGAATATAAGACAAATCAAGCAATTTACCTGTTTCTGAACTCTTTCTATAATTTCCTTGTTAGGCAAGGGCATGTAGGGATCCCCAGGAGTGAGAACAGCCCTGGAAAAACAAATAGGAGCAAGGTCAGGAAGTGTATTTCAAAACAAGCTGACAGACTGTCGAACAAAAATTGTCAGTTACTGTGGGCAATACTGTGAAACAATAAAACATTGCAACCAAATTGAGAAAGATATTAGTAGACTTCCAAATTTTGTTTAAAAAATTTCAAGTAGATGAAGAATCTAACGTGGACAAGATAGGAATGATCAATAAATGTGTGAATTCAGGGCAGTTAACGCACTCCACTGCCCTCTTGACTCTCCATCCACCTAGCATCTTCGTCATTTTCACTTAATTTACATCACCCGAGATATTCGTTTCATGTTGACCACTTACTAATGGGGACTGCATCGTGATGCTGCCAACACTAAATCATTTTCTTAATCTCATCCGAAATCATACTACATTTTTCAGTTCATATTTCTTTTCCTTTATACATCCAAACCATCATCTTACATGTTGTCCCGTGCTCAAACCATCTAAACTAGTCGCCAGCAGCCCTTGCACTTAAACTGTCTCATTCTAGTCCAATTCTTCCTCGTTTAACCAAAATATTATAAAGTGCATACCAATATGAATCTTTACTGAGAAAGAACTGGAGCCCACAGCTAAGTTTCACTGAATTCCAGCTGTTTAAGAAGTTGATGAGAAGTATGATGAAGCAAATAACATGAATTAGATGATGAATCAAATAACAAGAATTAGATGGTGGACCTTGAATATCTGAATATTGAATGCTTCTTAAAGATACAACAAGAAAGTAGATGAAGAAATAAATATCATTTGGAATAATGCTTTATACAAAAAGTGCGATGCTATAGGAGCTTGAGGAATCTATAAGCCAACAAATCACCATTTAAAAGAAACCATATAAGAGAAACCCAAACAAGAGAAACAGCATAGAGTGGGAGCTATAGGTATTGTTGGAATTTGGAAAACAGGTATATTGAGATAACTGGTTCTTAGAAGAAAATGCAACAAATTAGAAGATATAGAGCCAAATGGTATTCCTATTAAGGTTTCAATGTCTTCAGTGACAAGGGTATAAAAGCTAACCATGTTATTCAACAAAATTATAGACCAAAGGAAGCATTTCAACTTGTTTATTAGAAAAAACGTGATATATAAAGTTATAGCACGAAAACACTAAATACCTACTTTTGTTGCCAGACATTGTGGATAGCAAAAAATTTAAAATCACAATTAAGTTATAGGCAAATTCATGGAATTGTAGGATAGTCTTATTGAAAAGCAAAAGCAGTCTTTCCAAAACATAAAAAACTAAGTATCTGCTATGGCTACAACATCTATATGAATTAAGAAAACATGTAGCCTTTTTATGATCACAACAAAGGAGAATGCATAGGAGATCTTGCAGTAATTCTATGAGATGAAAATAGTAATAAAAATCTTCCTTACTGGATGAGGGAACCTTGTCCTTCAATATAATAATCTTCAGGTGATGTGAGTGCAAGATCAGCAAAACAAGAGAAGTCTGCATCTGGAGTATAAAGAAGATTATCTAATCCTACTGCTCTTCTCAGTTGCCTGCAGTCACACCAAAGGGATAACAAATAAGAATTATTATACAGATATTAACCAAACTCTTTCAAGAATCCTGGTGACATTTAGAACATGCTTGATCACAAAAAGTAAAGACAGATAAATGTAACAAATCAATTACCTTGATTTTTCCAGATCTTGCAACTCTGTGACCCAGCCATCATATCTAAGCTGTACAGTGACAACTGGAACTCCAACTAGTTTATAGAGGTTCTCGAAGAGATCCCACTTTCTCCACTGAGATGGGATCAATCTTTTTATTCCAGGGACATCACACGCTGCAAAACATTATGTATTGGCTTATCAGATAAGATTCAAGAGATTGAAGAAAAAACATAGGAAATGGGACATGTTCACAAACCTGCAACATACACATCAGCTTTCACAATTTTTTTATTTGTAGCCTGGAATGATTGGAATCATACAAACAGAAATTAGTCAAATATTAATATGTCAGATAAATTTTGATCTGACTGCAAATAGAAAATGGATGAGTAATTTGTATATAGTTCACTTGGTTCCTGCGTATAGGCTCATCGTACAAGTTCTGGTCTTATCAAGCGGTTAACTGATTGCGCAACTTTTTTCACAATTTAATTGTCTAATATATTATGTTTCTGAAATCTGCATCTATGTGGTAGTCACAGCAGGAAATATTTACAACAATCCCCCTGCTCCAAACAGGAAGAAAAGGAGATGACTTCCTTTTGTGAAAAGAAGATGAGATGGTTTATATATTTGAATGTAGAGATTAATTATGGGATTTAAGAGAAGATTTAAGAGTAAAGAACAGCACAGCTCACAAGAGGTTGATGGTTCGTGATTAATTAGATTTCGGACTTAATTCGAACTTTTTCCAAATGTATTTTGCTGACCAAAGTAAAATATAGTCGAAACAGCACAATTACATGACAGAACAGTCATCAATTGCGCATGAAGAAAATACATTCAAGTTAAATAACTTTATCATAAAACTGGAACTATTGTAAAAAAAATAATATAAGCCAGTTAGGTAACCTTAGACATTGCGATTCCTGTGACATATGTATCTCCATTAGGTGATTTCTCGTAAAGTATCTCTCTGCAGCCCCACCTTAAGTGAAACCTGAAACAGTAATCAAGAAAATTTTGTAAATAAGTAAGAAAAATGGCTGCTACAAGAAAGGCAAATAAAAGTTTGAAAAAAAAAGGTTCTGATTACTCATGCTATGTTGTTTGTCATACCTTCCTCCTTTATCTGTAATATACTTTCTTATTGGGCCACTTAAGAAAACATCAGGTGAACCCTTCAGCATTCGTAATAGAGAAGCCTCCGTCTTGGTAGCAAAGAGAGAGAATATAGTAAGCATACAACGGGCACTAATATTATCACAGTCGATAAATCCGAGGGCATAAGCAACAGGGTCCCACATTCTTTGGATGCTCATACGGGTACCACCTTTGGACATGAACCAGTCGGAAAAGCTGATCTGAAACAAAAGGAAATATAATAGAAATGCTTAGCAGCTTAAAAATAATAATGACAACTGCCTGAAGACACTAGCATTGATTCAGATTCAAATTAAAAGCTAATGATTAGCACATATTTTTATATTTGCATTATTAAAATTTCCCTGTGGGACTCAATTAGTCGGGAAATTGAATTCAAATAGAGAGTATTAGTTTACACAGACCAAAAATATGTCATAACCAATAAAAGCAACTAGTAAAATGAATGCATATATTCAAGCAGAATAAAATGGAGATGCCACTTACATCATCTAAGTTCCTTATGTCCTGCATTGCACCATCCGGATCGACAAGAGCCCGTACAACTGGGCTTAAAGCAAGAGCCACAGCATTCCTTGCTTTATCATAAGGCTACAAAATGTTCAAAAGGAAATCAATTTCAAGTCCCTCAAAGACACACATAATGCAACGACAATAGCCAGTCTAGACAAAGAAAGTGTAAAGTTGAACTCATAAGTTGCAACTACATCTGTCTACAGGGTAAATACAGCATGTTAGAGCGAGTCCCCACCTACCAAAAGAGGAAGAAGACACAATTTTCTTAAGTGCTCATAAACAAAGCATGAGTTTAACATAGATAAAAAAATAGCAATAACCATAGAAAATATAAATTGAGAGATCAGTTATTAGAGCAACTGCCAATTAGCTCCATTGCTTTGAAGAACATATAGTACGGTATACACAGAAAATTATCGAAATAGCACAGAAAGTATAATTGTTTAGAAGAATTTTCTGGATCAGTAGTTCATAATTCTCAGTCAAAGTATCAACGAGTTTGGTAAAACATGGATGCTTAAGACTGTTCTATTTTTCACTCTTTACTTCCTGATGTGACTTTTATTCTGATGTCATGCAGCTAACTCAATATGCTTAATTTTCCGCAACACGATGTGCATGTACATAAAAACTTAATCAAATAAGAGACTGCATGAGAAACAACAGTTTTCAGAAGTGTATTTAGATGCAATCTTGGAAAGTTGCATAGAAAATTTATGGCCGTGACACTCACTGGTCTAATATAGTCTAAATGAAGGATCTCTCTACCTTAAGTTGATTGGTTGATAGAAATGCACGAATACCATGTATTGGTGCACCCACTGGAAATCGAAAATCAAGTTCTGCAGGAAAAAGACCAGAAAATGTTAAGATATTGGTATACTGAAAAGTAGATTATGCATCATAAAAGAAAATAACACAAACAAGTTTTAATGTGTTTATGGTAACTTATAATATACACCTGAACTACTTAATGACATTTGACTATATAGTTTTTTCCAGCTTAACATAATGGTGACGACACTCTTTATTTGGGTTCTTGTTTGGGTTTTCATAGCATGAATGCGAGATTGCAGCTTCACTACTTTCGGAAGTACACGTAAATACTCCGTGAATAATAAAGCATCCTGAAAACATACCATTGGGCGTGATATAAAACACCAAGACTGCCGTATGCTCTGGCACGTTCTAGCCCTACATGTGAATACAAAATTGGTATGTACAAAGTATAAAAATTCTTTGAATTTATGGCTGCTTGACATCAGGTATAACATACTGACAACAATCCCTATTAGTTTTTTTTATAGCTTTAATCTCTGGAGAACATCTAATAGTATGCACTTATCGTCATTTTGATTGTCTATCAGGCTGGTGTAGAAATACTCACACTATATACTGTTAAAGTAAGCCTAAAAGCATGCAAATGCAATAAGCTTCATCCGTTACTCATCACACCAGAACAGTGGTATGATCATCTCGAACTCCCCTTGAACATACTGACAAACAATGGACATTCTTATATACAATTTGAATCCAATTATCTTAAATGCCAGCTGAATATTTGTTTCCTCATAAAGAAAGTGTGTACTACCACTGATATCAAGAAAGATTTTGGATTTAACTCAACAAGAATATGTCCTAAACAGTAACATGAGTTAATAAACAAATAACATGCACAAACACATAGATGTAATATTTTGAAATTTTCATCAAGAATAATGTCCTAAACAATAACACGACTAACATGACAAATGAAAAACTACATACCACCAATTTCTCCTCCTCGATTTACAAAGGTGTGAGTGTGATCCTTGACCAGTAAATTTTCGTCTGCACCAACCTGACAAAACATTAACAAGTCTTGATTAAGTAAACCATAGTAAAGTTTTGCAGATGAGTAAGTATGTAACCACAAGCTATACATTTAGAAAGAAATGAACATGACAGTGAAAACAGTTACTTCCCCCTAAAAATATGCGACTGTGTCTGTATTTGTATAACATCAGTAGCATCTTGGAATTACAGAGAGGAATGCTCAAATACGATATGCAATATCCAATAATCAGTTTTTTCATCAAGAAAATCTAAAAATCTGTATCATATTGCAACAAGTAGGGCAAAAACAGCTCTAAACGTTAACACTATTGTACATGAGAGTAAACTCAAAGAACGGTTCCCATCAAGATCACAGAAAGAAAAGATAACTCAAAACCCATTTGATCAAATAATCAATGGCCATGATGATGAAGTCACCCGCTGGGTCCTGATCAACATGCTTAAACTACTTGAAAAGAGGGAGTGCATCTACACTTGATTTTTTCATAACTTTACAAATCCAGTTATTTTGAAACAAACATTTAGAACTTACCTTATTTTCCATCAAAGGTAACATAGTAAATCATAGAAGAGAATAAAATTCTGATAACAGGGATATTAGTTGACCGAGTACAAATTAAATGGTCAAAATAATTTTTTAGTCCAGTTTCACAAAGGTGCATACCATGATTACTTCTTTTTACCCAAGATGATTCAAGGATAACATGTCTGTGCTTGTAACACATGCTAAGGAATGCATCGAGCAGGAGACAAGCTATAAAAGAACAATTCTTAAAACCTTGGAAATAATTATATACTGCTGCAGAAAATTATAAGATTAAATTTGCTGGTCATCAAATCAATTCTAAAAGAACAGTCTGAAAGTACTTCAATGTATAGAGTTAGATTCTAGCCATGACATGTATACACGCAGAAGCATCATGTAACAAGGAACAGAAAGGTGCGGCCTAATGCCTTCATATCATTCCTTGAGGCAGTAAGTTTAGTTTTGGCTTCCCTCAATCTTTCATGTATGATATCATGATTAGAAAACATAGAATAGTTAGCTCATCAAGTGAAACATAGAATAGTTAACTCATCAAGTGGCTAATTATACTAGCATAAGAGAATATAATAAAAGATGATAGGAATGTTAGGCTACTAAATATATCATGAAGGATAGAACTTTCTTCTCCCAACTGACTTAGATCTAATCAATATCATCTGTGGTGGAAAGGTAAGATAGATACATGATTTTCGCAATCTGACCAACTTGAACGTGGATCTATAGTTCAATATTAAGTCTGCATGAAGATTCCTTTCAAGACATTTATGACCGTGTATTGACTCCTTGCACAATTTACCTTTTTCATAAGTCGGAAAAGATTGTTATAGCAACCAAAGAACACGTGGAGTCCCATCTCAATATGGTTTCCGCGTTTGTCCACAAATGAACCAACTTTACCACCAATAAATTGTCTTGATTCATATATGTTGACCTGCAAATGAAACCAAAAGCACCCCCCCCCCCCAAAAAAAAAAAAAAAAAAAAAGCAAATAGCCAAACAGAGATATCAAATAGAAATCAACATTGGATTAATCAAACTAAATAGTAGAAGTAACTAGGAAAGAAACATTAGGGATGAAAGAATCCAAGTGAAAGTATGCACAAGTGAGCTACATAACAGGCAAAGTTTCCAAGAAACGGAAAATGTGAAAAACAGCAACAACGACGAAGACTTTTAGCTAATTTTCTTTATTCAAGTTCCGATTGCTGAAGCACGTCAGGGTAAGAGGTAAGCAAAAACAGCATTTTAGAGAAAAGTAAGATCCAAACCTCATGCCCTTGATCCAGAAGTTCCACTGCAGTAGACATGCCAGCAAGCCCAGCACCAATTATAGCAACTTTAAGCTTTGGCCCTCTATAATGCTCAGGCTCTGGTGGAAACAATCCTTTTGGAGCTGCCAAAGGAAAGGTTTATCTTAGGAATGCTGATTGAAAATCCATGCACAATGTGAAGTAGACGAGTGCATGCAGGATATCCCTTTTACAAAAGAAATGGTGATGCCAGAATAAGGTAAGTTGTCGATGCTCGTTCAAATACACAGCCTATTCATCATAAAACCACAAAAATAATATCTCTACAGTTATGCGGAAGCTTTGGATGCATCCTCATATTCATTAATTTACTGTTTTTGCATGTTAAAATCTCTGGAACAAATTGAAAGGGAAAGCAAAAACAGAATTTGCAGCATAATCATAAGAGAAATGCATTACAACGAAGATTTTAGGTGGAACCACTATATAATTAATACAACATTAAACATGACAAGAAAGTCTTAGCCTGCTGTTTTGTGCAACATAACCTCTAAGATTATTGACGCATCAATCAATCCCAGCAACCACAAAAGCAAATTTAAGTTTATTAATCCAAATTTTGACAGTTATATGGTCGTGATCAATGGAGGTACAACCAATAATGAGAGTGGACCGCTACAGAGAACGGGGTCTTAAAGTCAGAGATGGGTAAATTTTCTCAACAGGTCAATGAAATTGAATTTACACCATAGGCTAACGTACTAACGAGCATGAGGTGTAAGGATAAAACCCCTGTCGACACAAAAAAAAACCTTCACTAATTACAAGAAAGAAGACAAAAATGGCAGTAGCATCAAAATTTCATTGACAAACTCAACCGGCAATGGCATAAGAAGAGACGACGGTGTGATGGTATAATCATGTCAAACAAAGTCAAAAGATCTTGAACCAATCAAGTCCTTAACTGAGGTACAGATCTCTTACTATGAGGTCAAAGATGGACAAAGAGTAGAACATCGTGCCTCGAACAACTGTATGCGTCACCTAAACTTCTCTAGATATCTTGCAACAATTGAATCCGTCGTTACTCATTTCAAGCTCGATTCAAATGTTAACAGAAATCCAAGTAGCAGATTAAATTGCCCCCCAATTTGTCTTCCTAATCAAACAACTAACATAACCCCCAAAATATGAAAATCGAATTAGCACATATAATTACACACAGCAGGGGGAAAAAAGATGGGAGCTCGCTCACCATTAACACCCATATCTGAGACCTTAGTGTCCAGCGCCGACCGAATCGAGAATCCCCGCGAGGGTTTCATCGAAACCATCACCGTCTCTTTGCTTCCCAATCCAAAAGAGGGAGCAGGAACGCAAGCAAAAGAACAAGAAGCAGAGGCCATATCCAATTCTAGAGAGAGAGAGTAACAAAAAGTCTCAAGAGTCACTAGCTGCTGCTTCTCTCAACGAGACGAGCTATTGAAGAAGAAGAAGAGCAGAGAGCATCTTGGCGTGGGAGATTCTGAAGGTGCGGACTTTTGTCAGGACGCTACCCAAAAAAAATTCTACTTATTAAGATGATGATAAAAAAAAAGAAAGAAAGAAAGGAGCAACACGATATAAGTGTGAGTGAACAGCACAATGAAATTGTACTATTTATTTTTTTTTTAAAAATAAAAAATATAAAAAGGATTGCATTTACGTATTTGATTTTTTTTTAAACGAATTT